TTATTACGGTGTATCCATATAAATGGCCCACCCTGTAGAATGTTTTTACCTACAGTAATACTTGTTAGTAAGATAATTGCTGAATTTTTTTAAATGTAATTTATAGATAGAAACAAAAATATAAATCATCACCCCTAGTCTTATTTTCTGAGCAAGTAAATGCTTTTTAAAACATATTCCACTTTAAAAACACAAAAGCACTTTACACAGCTTGTATTTTAATAAAAGTAGTGACTGTGAAGACTCAACATTAGTGAGACTACAAGAGGGCATCCAACCATTGACAAGAATGTTAATTTCCAAAACAGAAAGGTTAACAAACCAGATTTTCTTCGACAAAAAAAATATTTTTTCCATGTTTATTTTTTTTCTGTAAATGAGTCCTCGTGATGTGATGAAAAGTACAAAACGGAGAGGACAGACACGCACAAAACAATTCACAATTATCCGTTTAAACATATTTATAGATGAAGAACCTCTCCTGTACAAGTATATGAGGAATTACAATGTTATTTATCAGAATCTATAAAACAACCTTGTCCGTGGTTAAGATGCGACACCTGCTATGCAGACGGTGCTGGGGCTGTGTTCACTTCCCAAGTTCATAACGAATATCAAATAGGTACAATATGTTTAATGGAATCTATGATCACAAAAGCTGCAAGGGTCCCTTCTTGTGTGTAGTTTGTACGTTGAGTTCATCCAACTCTTCTGCTGTCTTTTATTGCTTCAGGAATCCCGCTCCAGCTGCTCTAATTCCTCTTGTAAGGCCTTTGCCCGACCCAGCTTCTCCAACTGATCCTTTGTTGGCTGTTTTATTTCCCCTGAGTCCACTTTCTGCTGCAACTCCTCAACCTGTCGCAACTTCTTTTTTACGTTTTTGATCTTCTTAGCCTTTTCAGCCGCCGCTGCTGAAGAGTCAATGGAAGAAGCCGCAGAAACAGGCGCCGCCGTCTTGTTTGCCGACTTGTCGCTCTCTGAAATGGACACATTCTCGACGGCGTTGCTCACCGACTCCACGTCCGCATCTCCATCCTGGCCCTGCTGCTGCTGCTGTTTTCGTTTTTCCTTACGTTTCATGTTGCGTTTGGCAGACTTTGAGAGACCAGCTGTGTCACTGTCTCCACACCCGGGGATCTTCTGCTGCTGCTGTTGTGTTGGTTGCGCTGCATCAGTTGGGTTCAAACCAGGGGGCAGATCAGGTTTACTCTTAAAAAACTTGACATACTTGTTTTCATACCTAAAGCAAGAGAAATGCAATTTAAATAATAGCGTATGAGTAACTTTTATTAACGATGCAGCCCTACAAATGCACAAAAAGAAAGTGTGTACACTGTAGGGAAAGAAGAAGGGCGCTTACACAGGGACTTCTTCCTGGGGCACATAACCGTCCTTCACTCGCCTCGGCTTCCTCCAGGTTCCATCAGGTCGCTGAGTAGCAGCGATGTATTTCCCTGAAAAGAAACAGGCAAAGCATTTTAGAGATGACATACACCTTTGTGCAGGAGTGACCTGAAAATGTCTACTGCTTCTATTCTCACTGGATATTTTCAGTGTTTTCCCAGAAAGGCAACACTGATGATTTAAAAGAAAGACTTGGACAGTGTGAGATTCCTGCAGCCCCAAGGCCCCGACCAACTACATGTATTAACTGTGAATCTTACGTTAATACAAAGCTTTTTATGGATTTCCATACATTTTAGGCATTTTAAAACCCATAAAATGTGATACTAACATGTTCCTACTTTGCACGATTATTTTAGCAAATCTCAAAAGTCCACCATAAACCAAGAAGCTAACTCTAACTTTAAAGGTCTCTAACCAATCCTTATGCTAAGAGAGGAAAATAAAGGCATTTTCAGCTGCATTTACTTTTTTCCCCAATTTGTGGACTCTAAGTTGGTTTGCATAGTTCAGTTCAGTTCAAAGTTACATACCAAACTTTGGACAGCTCAATACAAATAAGCACACTGCAAGTCATTATATTTTTGAGTGCATGTAAAAAATGTTTCAAAAGGCACTAATACCACAAGCAAAGCCAAGGTCCAAGCAGTGAACCATGAAGCCTAATAAAAAATAAACAGGTGACTTATAGCAATATTCATTCCCTTTAATGTGTTTAATGTGCATCCAAGACAACAACTTGATGTAGCTGAAAATAAAGAAAAGAACATTAACCAGTCAACTTAGTTTACAAGTACGTGCATAGAATACATTCTTCGTGTCACATTGTGAACCACTTAAAAAGTTGTACACATATCAATCGAACTACCCCACAGTCACAGAAACTTCACACCAAAACACAACACATGCAGAATAATTACAGTGAGCAAGTGTGAAAGTGGCTTTGCTGCAGATCATCTCAACAACAGTGCTAGAGTTTTCTTTAAATGCAGGGACATATTTAGTTTATTGCACACAGAGGTAAAACTTGTTTAAGGACTGTTATAAGCTTTACACACCACTAGATGTCACTGTGCTTGTTTGGAAAATAAGTGAATAACAAATCAAATTTATCTGCTTTTATTAATTCACAACTCTTCGTTATTTTTTAACAATTGTACAGTCAAAATGTTTTTATTTACTACAGATGTTCTTTGGATTAAATTACAGCCTCTAAACGGACTTAATACAGTGACAGTCTAAGACAACATCAGCTTAATTCACGGCATCAGCAGCGTTAGCTCTAGCTGTTGCGGCCACTAACAGATTATCCCTCTACACGGAATTTAAAGTCAAATATCCAGATGTTTTCCTAAGCACCAGTGGAAATGTGTGTCTGACACCTATAAGCGTTATGTTAAACGGTGATTTAACTCTAATAACTAATAAAGTGCGCCTGGAGTGTTTAGCAACAAGCTAACTAGCTTTACGGAAGACTTAGCCATTTTTAGTTACTAGCATTAGCTAGCTGCAACATAGAAACCCGTCAGTTGGCAGTGTCAGGGAAGTATAAACGATGAATGTTTCAAAGGGAAAAGACGGGCTATCTCTCCCCTGTAGCTGTAAGATTTAACTCGGAAGATACATTTTCTTTGAGACAAAGGTCTGGCACATGCATCAGCCTTACCAGATTCATCTGTCACATAGGGGGTTGCCATTTTGGTGTAGTGAGCTACTCCGCTCCCCTCGCTCTGGATTACTGTCTATCGGTAATGGTGTACCCAAAGGTCCCCTCCGTTACCTCGCTCACTCACAGCACCACACTTACAGCTTTTTAAACATCTGCTTTAAAGTTATTTCGCCGCTCGATGTGTGCCCGATCATGACAGCACATGTGTATGGCTGTTAAAGAGGCTGGCGGGCGGTGCAAGGTAACACAACGAGCGTACCCTATTCTTCGACTTCGGAAATGACGACGTGGATTCTGGGTTGCCAGGTTTGGACAGTATGCGTATTGTTCTCACGTTAATAAAAATAAATAAATACAAAAATAAAAGTCGTGTTAAATTTGTTAGTTCTTAAAAACCTCCCTTCTTTCTATTCCAAATGCTATTTTTTCTTCTTTCTGTGTTTTTTGGAAGTCTGTCCCATGGAGATAAATCTAATCAATTTGGTAAAAAGCCTTCTCTATTTTCTCTCTATTGAACTAACAAAGATCCAAATGATACTTTCCAGTATGTACTCGTGCTGTTTTTTGTTGCTCGATCTTGTACACTTAATCTTTTTTTAAACCAAAAGAATAACTCCTTTTGAAAAGCTGTTAAAAGATTGACATTACATTGATAGATTTTTAACCATTTGTATGGCAGAGCTGCCATAAATTAGTCAATTGTTCACGTTGATTAAAAGAAAAGTAATTTGCAACAGTTCTGAGTTATTTTCATGCAAAGTATAAAAATATTCATTTTCAGCACAAATACCATTTCACTGTGTGTTATTCTGTAACATCAGAGTTAGAAAGCCAGACAGAATTGGAATTTATTAGCTCAGGTAACAATGAATTGCTTCATCCATTGATCGAAAAGGACCCTGGATGTGCCTGTAAAACCTTTAATTATTCTTCTATTTATTTTGTTTACTATTTTATTATGTTGTTTTGACATAAGCCTGGGCTTCACGTAGTAATTACAATGTACTGGGGGGAAATTAGTCTGAAATATTTTAAAGTTTCACTTTGAATTTTGCACTTTTTCTTAAATGCATTGTTCTTAATTATTTTGAATAATAACCAAAAAATGCATGAGTTTATTCACTAATGCAGTTCCATGCAACTGTAAAAAGAAATGAGGTAAAAAAATAAAAAAATAAATAAAAAAATTAAAAAAAAAGGGAAGGGGACTTAATTGGGGCCCCTAACTAAATGTACTAGTGAAAAAAATTAGGAAATGTAAATAAAGAAAAAGTAAACTCAATGAAACTATATATGCTCATAAAATGAGTAAAATTCAAACTCAGGAAATGTGCTTTTGTTGACTCTACATGTGAGTTAACTACTAGTTAATACTTTTGTGTCTGACTGTAATATCAGGGTCTTTAGGGTCCACACGACTGCTCTGCATGTCGTGCAAGACACTCACAATTTAGAGCCACTCGTTAAGCTAACCCTACTAACTGCATGTCTGTGGATAGTGGGAGGAAGCTAGAGTACCCGAAGATAGCATGCAGTCTACGCAGAAAGGCGCTTGGCACATGGTGGATGGTGGAACTCAGGACCTTCTTGTTGTGAGGCAACAGTGCTAACCACCTCGCTAAATTTTTAGATAATAACTCAGCATTTTTATTTACAAAGGAAATCCTACATAAAAAAGTAAAACCAAATATTCTTATAGAAAAAAAGCCAAATTTAAGAAAGCTAGTCGATCTTGCAAACAAAAAAAAACGGTAAAGCGAAATAATACAAAAAATACTAACTACAGTAACTATGCTGTAGCACATTTCACATCCTGTTTGAATGTTAAAAGGGGCGTTCTTTCAATCCAATCTGGCAACCCGAAGTAGTCTGGTCGAGGAAAATAGTACCCACAGCAAGACTACTTGGCATTAAAGACGGCTGGTGGTAGGAGCTGCGGACACTCGTTTCCAGAAGCTACTGTTCACTTGCTGCCGCCAACAAGTACGTATTCGTGATTTTTAGATTATATTTTTGTGCTATTAGACTTAAAAAAAAAAAAACATGCTTTAACAGCAGCGGAGTATTTAACGCTAAAGTTTAGCAGCCGAGTGACGGCAAGAATTACAGCACAAACCCGACTAATAAAAGCCAAGCGGTCTGCTAGCTGCGCGCTAATGTTAGCCAAAGCGGCATCCAGAGGACCCTCCAGAGAGGGGTTGTTTGTCTGATGTGCTGCATTTAGCTATGCATACATTCTCCGTGTTTTTTGGGGGGCTAATTTAATGCGACGGAGATTTTTTTTGCGGTCAGTGAGGCAGAGCCTTGTAGAGATGCTATAAACGTTAGGTAATGTTAGCACGCTAACGGTAACGTAACCTCCGGACTTCAGCCAAATACGTGCAGTGAGCTGCTCTCTGATGAAAGACTGGACCGAGACCCCCATTGTGCAAGTTGCTTTCAGTCAAGAGTTTGCAAAAATGTGTAGATATTCTTTTAAAAGCGAACAAATAAAACAGTAACATTACATAACAGGCTGAATTGAGCGGATCGTTCCGCTACAATAAACGCGAAGTTCGGGTTTTTTTTTTATGGCCGATCTTTGTCGTGAAGGTCCTTTCACAATAGATTGGGATGTTTTGGGGGGTTGTGGGGAAGCCTTTCCGCTTCTGTAGCGATCCTTATTACTCAGGCTTTGAGCTGGAATATAATGCAAGATGCTAGTTAAGATGCAGCAACGGATGAGGGGGTATTTATATCTCTCTCTCTGATTAGCCAGCTACACTTAACGTCTTAGGAGGTAGTCTAGGTTTTCTAGTCATGCCCGACAGGTTTAATTAACTGTGAACCTTGCGATCACTGGCTTCTCTGGCAGGAACTTAACAGAGATTAAATTACAGCAAAGAAAAAAAAAACCCCTAAAAATAAAAAAACAAAACTACCTGGTGATTGGATTGTTTGTATGTTGTTTATCAGTGCTTTTCCTCTTAAATCTGCCACACACGCATGTACCTTCCTTGAAGCCCAAACTTTTTTGCGTCATGAGTGCTGTGTTGGCATTTTCTTCTTAATGGCATCACTCAACAGGAGTGCACCTGGCACTCTTGAACGCTGAAGAACCATCCCTCTTGATAAACACAGAGCATCTCGGTGCCTTTGCATGAGTGGCTTTTGCAGTGTCACTTGTTGATCATGCGTGTGTGAGTTTGACGTCTGTAAAGGTGTGGTGGAACTGGGACTATGGCATGCCAAGTCCTAATCAAGAGGGTGTTGGCTTCTACAGCCTTTTAAGTTTCCGTTTCTGGTGAACCAGGATCAGAAAGGGAAAACTATAAGCTACAAACAGCTGGTCCATAAAACTGGATCCAGACTACTGGAGGTCTGGCTGAAGCAATTTTAAGGCTAGAGTGGGCATAATTAAATAAAGTTCACATAAAGCAGCAGTGAGACGGGCAAGAGAATGTGTCTGCTATATTGATTACTAAGCATGATGACTGTAAAATTTCCAAGAGTGTAATAGGGATTTACAGATGCTTTTTTTCCCCACAATGAAGAAATTGCAAAATTGTACTTTCAGTAGTTTTGTCTAAATTAAGAACTCATGTCATTATACGAAAACCAAACCTTATGTAATTTCTGACATCACTGACTCTTATTCTTCCTGTTTAATTTCCAGTAAAGAAAATAAGTTGTAAAAGTGTCCAAAGGTATTAAAAAAAAGAAAAAGTCATTTTAGACTTCAGACCCAGTGTAGCTGTCATAGAGACTGCCAGAAAACTTAGAATATTCAAAGTAGTTTTAAATCGCACACACACAATTTTTTTTAAATACACTTTCAGATATTTGCACACAGTCGTCACCAGCCCAATCAAAGGCCGCACACTGCAACACCATTGCCAGCACAGCATTATCACCCACCACTCCTGTAGACAACCGAGAAAAAGGAAATGCCCCTAAAAATGTGTTAATCTGAAACCCTGCTAAACTTTTCTTCCCAACTATATGCAGCTTTTCTGCCAAGGACAATATGAACTGCAGATTTTTTTTTTTTTCTTTTCTTGAGGACTCTCCGCCAGACAGACAATAATTTATTGAAATCTGTTTTTCATTCATATTTCATAGCCAGAGGAAATGGATTTAGTTTGCATTCTTTTTTTTTTTTCACAGATCATAGAAAAGGGAAGGGTGGTATCTGCATTTTTACTTGGTACAGCATGACCACAGTTGGGGTTTCTTTTTTTTTCTTTTTTTTTTTAATGTATTTTATTATTCCTACATTTAAATACTGACACGAAACCACTTCTTTATCACTAGTTCTGAGTTGTTCTTTTTTCTTCTTTTTCTTTCATTCCACAGATTTAGTGAGGGTAGAGCAAAGGGGAAAACCCAAATCTTTGACTGAATGGTGACGGTTTGGATCTGAACCTTTTTCTTCCAACCCTTCTGCCAGCTCTGAGCCTCATTGAGCTCTTCTCTACCGAAAGCAACTCCAACTGAAAGTTTTGTCACATTTGGACCCGTTAGCTCTGCATCAGCTTGAATATATTTGAAGGAGTATACACTGCAGAAAATAAACAGCAGAGATTTTCTTGGATACTTCTGTGTGACAACATGGCAAAGAAAAACAGCCAAAAAGGTAAGGGTTAAGACAAAATATAAATGTAATACAATGTAATTTATTGTAAAGTACTTGGAAAGTTGTTGATGTAATCACATATCTATAGTTTTCTTCCAAGGAACCAGACTTTGTCATTTATTTTAAAGTGGTTTTCAGGAATAGCTCTCCAGGCTTTCTGTAGGTCTTTCAAACTTTTTCTTTGGACAATGACTGCTTTTTCACCCATTTTCAGTTAAGTCTTTCTACCTGACAATTTTCAGAGGAATGATGTGTTTGTTTTTCAAGCCACTTAACACTGTCATATGAATCAAGCATTAAAATGTGCTTATCTGAAAGGAGGAACCAGTGTTGTGTCCACATATAACAGAAATGTTTGCAAAGAACCAATTTTATATTGCATCTTTAGGAACGTTTTTTACTAGCAGCCTGTTGCAAAAGCACATCATTTGTTCCCATTGTTTAGTTCAGTCCTTGAAAAAATGCCAAGGATAACAGATTTAAGATTGTTTTTTCACCACCAAGGTGATTTTGTGCTATTAGCTTAAACCTTGGCATATCTCAAGAGTGTTCTTCTTTTAAAATAATTTTTTTTAAAATGAGGAAACTTGAGAAGCAGATGTCAAAAGAACTGGGAGGCATTAAAAAAATCCATCTACAGCAGATGAACAGTATCAACGACAGAAATGGTCTCAGTAAAAGGGTGGCTGTTAAGAAGCCATTCTTAACGAAGGAAATGGCAGAGAAACAGCTGATGTATAGCAAATTACACGTCTTATGGACTGAAGTCAAATTTGAAATTTCTGGTTCAAATAATCATCATTAGCCATCTGTAAAACACAATTGAGGTTCTGTAACGTTTTGGGGCTACATTTCAGCCAGTGAGGTTGGGGACCTTTTCAAAATTGGACTTACGAATGCAGAAAAGTACAATCAGTTTTTGAAACGTCATACGATGCCGTCTGGAAAGCATCTGATTGGTAGTAGCTTCATTCTTCAGCAACACAATGATCAAAGATGCTGCCAATGCTGTAAAAGCATACAAAAAAACAAAAACAGTCATTGATTGGCCTCCCCAACCACAGACCTCAACATTATTGAAACAGTGTGGAACCTATTTGATAGAGAATTGATCACAACATCCAGACGAGCTTTGTCTTTCATGAAGCCTGGAGAACTATTCCTGAAGATGACTTAAAAAAAAACAAAAAACAAGAAACCTTCTCTAAAAGAGTTCAGACTGTGTTACACAATAAAGATGGTCATGCTAGTGCTGACTTTCTCTCAATACGATATAGCCTTTATACTGCATTTCCATGTACCCGTTTCAACGAATTGCTATGTCCATTTCCCTAGCAAAAGGGACACGAAGGATGGTGCAATACTTTTGCACAATACTGTATCTCTATATGGTGCACAAGAATTGAGTTACAGATGGGTCACAGCAATAAATTATTCAACAAATAAATGTGTGCATGATTGTTTTCAGCTAGAATCTAATGGAGTTGTCCTGAAAGTACGTGCAGATGGCTGTACTTTTACAGCGAATTGGAGCTGTGGATATTTACAGTGACATTAACCTACTTCCATGCATGAGAAAAACAACTTTTACAAGGGCTCAGCAGTTTCCTCCCTCTTGTGTCTTTCAATGGCTAGAGATTAACTGTGGACTTCACTCTGACTCTTCGCATTCAGCTGAAGGCCTTTGTTTATCATTTTAAAGATTAGTGTCATCTGACCTTACAGGAAGAGATCTCATTTTACCTTGACTCAGCTGCTTGACTCAGTGAGCCAGATTTATTCTCCTCCTGCTAGAAGAAACTCTGAAGTTTTTCCTTCTTGAAAGAATGTCTTTTTGGATGCTATCATTGGTTATTAGTCATTAAAATGAGATCCGTGTTCCAGACAGTTCAGGCACAGATGTGATGAAGTCTTCTTTTTTCTTTTTTTAAGCGCTTCCTTTGTGCTTGTATCTGAAGTGGTTGTGCTTACATGCTTAAATAACACATCGTTCCACCTCCACAGTCCTGTGAGGCTGACATCTTCATTTTTCACATTTGTTTATTTGCATACAGGAAGCAAAATCTATTTTCTCAATTTCATATGTAAATATTTTGTTTTTTTATCATGTAGATTAACATGTCACGTCACATGTCTGTTTCACAATAATAATTCTGCAGCTGTAACCTGATTAGTATATTTATAAAGGTGGCCAGCAACTTTTTTTTTTTTTTTTTTTTCCAGGATATCTCTAAAGATGTCTGCTGGTGGTTTTGTTTTGCAAATGATGCCCTACAGAGGTTTGCAAGTACAATTGAAGAGTTAAATGGACAATGCAGTTGAGTTTCTACTATATTTTTCCAGATACATCCGGAGTGGTGTTTGATACCCGTTCAAAAATGGTCATGTCCCAGGGTGGAACGGCTGAGAGGATGAAGGAGAAGGTAAGAAATTTACACACTCCTCAGGAGTAGTGCTGCACTTTTTTTTTTTTTTTTTTTTTTTTTTTTTTTTGGAGGCCTTAATCTGAAACATCAAATTGCAAAATATTTGTTCTCATTTGTGGATATGGCTGTAGATGGAATTAAGATTAGAATGAAATTATAGAAGAAGAATCACAAAATACATTCAAGAGATTACACGAGGTTTTACATTGCTGAAATTGCGTCTTTTTTTTCTTTTTTTTTTCAGAAAAAATCAGCACAATAATTGAACAGTTAGGAGCTTTATATTAATTTAAAGATAATATACACTGCATAAAAGCTCAACTGAAACAAAATGCAAATACCTGAGTAAACAGATATCTGTAGACCTGCATGTGAGTCAGTGCTATGAGCTTGACGCCACTGTCTTGCAGTGCATCAAAAACGGCATGTCAGCATTTATAAATAGAACTGATAACATTGGAGGCATGATTTTGATGGATTGTACTATCTCAAACTAGTTCTCGATTCCCATCTCTAATCATTGGATTCTTATCTGCTGCCAAAGTTGGATGCTCCTAAAGCTTGATATTCAGTTTCATTTACTGTGAGATGTGTACAGCAAGTTCCTGGAAAGTAGCTTTTTGGCGACAGTAAACATAAGAGGGCAAATTGTCAGAGCATGATTAATGTTGAAGTAGAGCAAAAATCAGATTCACCATCTTAACAGATATCTTGAAAAATGAGAGCTATATATAGGTATGTATCACTTAATCCCATGACAGGAAGCATCTTTAAAGCTGTTAAACTATAATTTAACAGTTCTGGGGAGTTTTATATAGGATCCCAAAAATTATTTTACATTTTTGTTAAATTAAATGGTGAAAAGCAAAAATATTTCATTAAAGTGTCTGATATACACACTCACTGGCCACTTGCTAGTCCCTACTTTAATTCTTTGTGGTATTGGTTCAGCAAGGTGCTGGGAACATTCCTTACAGGCTTTGGTCCATATCAGCATGATGGCATCAGACAGATTCTGGTGTTTGTTTAGATTTAGATCCATGATTGCGTTATGCTGACTGTGGAGGTTTTTTGAGTGCAGTGAACTAATTGTCACGTTGAAGAAACCAGTTTCAGATGATTTCAGGAACCATTCACCACACTTCTCCTAAGTCACCTTTCTTTCTCATTCTGATGCTCAGTTTAAACTTCAACAGGTTGTCTTGACCTTGTCTACATGCACCATATGATTGTCTGATTATATAGTTGCATTAACAGTCGAATTTTCGAACCAGTCGAACAGTTGTATTGACTAAAGTTGCCATGGAGTATCATTCTTTCACTGACCAAAATGAAAGCTTTGTGTATTTCTACATTAATAGTGCATTATCATGTCCTACAGCCACTTCTTACTTGAAGTGTATTTTCAGTAAATGTTTGAGGGCCCTTATGCTTGTCAGTGCTAATGTTCACTATGCTTCACAGATCAGTGCTGTCAGGGCGGTCGTCCCCAACAAAAGCAACAATGAGATTGTGCTGGTGTTACAGCATTTTGAGAACTGCGTCGATAAGGCCGTGCAGGCTTTTTTAGAAGGTATGAGGACACCAAATCTCTGAAAGTTACTGTGATGTTGTGTGACAGGATATTTGTAATTTGATATTTAATGCAGCTTACTTCACTCACTCCACAAGTAGAGTTGTGTTTACAGACACAGGTCGTGGGCATGAATGTCACTGTAATTCTGTGCCTTTAATGATTTCTTTGAACTGTCCTGTAATTACAGTGTGCATGTTAACATGTACACTGAACTTTTTTTTTTTTTTGTCCTTAACCTTAAATTTTTTTCACCATCATGCCTGCCATGCTTTGCATTCTGTAGTTGCGTATCATTTGCATGCCTTTGGTTTGGCAGGTTTAATTATAGCAAAGGAGCGTTGTGTCTCTACGTCAGACTACTCTTTTGTTTCCTTAGTTAGCCGTGTCTAAACAACGCCTCGAGGCATTCATATGTTCAGATGGTATTACAAAGTTTTCAATCTGCCATGTGTCAGCGTGTACCTTCGTCATCATTGTTTGGTTTACACCGCAGGCAGTGCAGCTGAGATCCTGAAGGAGTGGAATGTCACTGGAAAAAAGAAGGTGAGAACCACAAAGCCTACGTCTTAAACGTCTCTTTGTTGAGTTGGCATATTTATGTCACTCTTTCTTAGTAAAAGATTTAGTTTCAAATCATTGATGACATTTTAATCTGTTCTCATTGGTTCTAAAACGCATGGATTGGTTTAGTAAATTCTTCTGCCAAAAGCTTAATTTTCATTTAAATCAAAGCTTTCCATTTTCTGCATGCACTGAATTAGTTGATATCACTGCACCGATACTAAAAAGATGATAAAAAAAAAAAAAAGAAGGCTGACACTGATATCCTACTGTTCAGCCCAAGAAGAAAAAGAAGCCCAAACCTCAGCCAGAAGCCCCAGCAGAACCTGCTCCACCTGAGGCCACATCGCCCGAAGAGGGCAAGGACGAGCTGAATGGCTTTCATGCCAACGGCTCAGTAATGGACGGAGAGTCTCTTGATTCGCTGAGTGAACACCTGGACTCTGCCTCCCTGGATGCAGCCGAGCTGGACTCTGAACCTGCTACATCCGAAACCACCGGTAAATGCAACTGTTCAGCTAAAATGTGATGGATAGAGTAATTTATGGCCATGCAAATTGCTGCTCTTACAACATGAACCTTATTTGACCTTTTAAAGTAAATCTGTTCCTGGACAAATATTTTTGTTATATGACTTAACTGCAGGAAGGTCACCTTAAGTGAGCCAAGGACACAGTGTGAAAGTTTCATTAGATTTTTATCAATGAAACTTAGCAACAGGCTCTGCTCTAATCTACATGCTGGTAAAGAGAGTTATTTATTACTTAACTTGAAGAAATTAATTTGGTGTTATCTAATCAAAATCAAAGTTCAGTGGGGAAGTGTGTACTTGTAATCTTAGTGGTTTAAAAATGTCCTCCTGAAATGTGTGACTAGGCAGTTTTGTTTTGGGTTTTTTTTGGGGGGGGGGGGGTTGGTTAACTTTTAAAGTGAACCACATGGTCTGCTGACTTAGCCTGAGTGGGCAACTTGCTATTTTATTTTATTTATGGTTTAGCCACAAGCTCTTCAGGCCCATTTGACTGTTTCCGTGTGCTGGTCGTTGGTACAAATGCAAATAAATCTTAAAAAGAGAATTCTTAATCAAATTATATCCAGAGGTCTTTCACTGTGCTTTGGTGAATGCCATCCCTCATTTCCCTTCATAAGAGTTACATGCAACCAAAGCATGCTCAAATGATGTCAGAAACCAGTGCAGCAAGTGCTACAAGCGTACTACAAATAGAAAATACCAAGAACCTTGTCCGATATAGATTCTGCTTTTTCACATGAGGGTAGTTTTATAATTATTTACTTTGTGTCCTGACAAGTACTTTGTTTTCTCACAGGTGCAGAAGCAGAAAGTCAAGGTAGTGCTCCAAGTCCCACCTCTCAGCCAGGAGGAAAAAATCACCAGGCTCCCAGAGGCAATAAGTCACGACAAAGGCCAAACTCAAATTCACATCATCCCCCTGCCTCATTAGCATCCAACACAGATGAGCAAGGATCATCAGGAGTAAAGAAGATGGGTTAGACATGGCTCTTATTTCCAGAAGCCCATTTTATTCTATCCATATTGTTTCTTTGTGCCTCACAACCAAAGGCAAAGGTAACATGAAAACAAATGCGCCATAGCCCCAAAACTCTTGCTTAACTTTTCCTTATTCTCTCCTTCTCAGCTTCCAACATCGACCGCTCTGTGAAGGACCTGCAGAGATGTACTGCATCACTGACTCGCTACAGGATGGTGGTCAAAGAGGAGATGGACTCCTCAGTAAAAAGGATGAAGCAGACATTTTCTGAACTACAGAGCTGGTATGGGAATTCATTTTAAATCTGCCTGTTGTCATGCAGTTGATGTTGAAGTAAAATTGTGTTTTTATTTAACAATCAAAAAGTATATTGATATTGATATCTCAGATAGATAGATGTCTCAGGTAGTTTGATCTAAAATTAATGTCTGAAGTTGTAAAAACACTGCTTTTAATTTTGTGTGAACTTCTTTAAACTTTATCTTGCTAAACAGGACCCACAGTGTTTTTTTGTTTTTTTTTAAGTAAGTAGAAACAAATCAGGAAATAATTTTCACTCCTGTGACCGTGTCAACAAGCCTCTATATTTGTAAGACAACCCTGAAATAATTTAGAATCTTTGAGTCTAAATAGACCGTGACGAGAGATGCATTAAGAAGAAAATTGTTTCAGAAAAGCAAAGAAGAATGTAAAAATAGATCTTAGTTCCAATTTCATTTCTCAGATTTGTGTTGCATGTTCACTAAAGCAGTTCAGGCATTATTGCATTTTTATAGGTGCTGCTCAGTTACCTTTGTCCTTCTTGGTGGTGCAACTTTGCATAATGGTAAAAGAGGTCCATGTGTTGAACCTTGGATTGCTTTCATAGAGCCTCTGGTGTGTGCAGAAAAAAATGACTGATTTAGAACACTTTATTAAAGATAATAACAAACTAAATATTTTACATATTATTTCATTGTAGTAATTTGTCTTTAATCCCTGGATTTACACTTGCAGTTGAATTTTTTTTTTCACATTAGGCATACAGTTCATGTTAACAGGATTTACTAACCAGTTTAATTGTCCAGTTTTAGTGGTTTGTCTACTTTAGGGTGTTCTTTAAATGGCTTACAAACTTCATAGGTACTGCTGGTCTGAGCAAGAAGAAAAATCCATGCCCGTTAAGCCCCTGATAATTCAGCTGGATAAGATGACTGTAGTGATCATTTTCATGAGACTTTAGTAAATGCTGAAGTAGCTGGCAGTAGATTAGGAACTCACTAATAACTAATTGGTTGAAGATTATCTGGGTTTAGTCCAAGCTGGCAATTACAGAGTATCGTCTACAAAACCTCAGGTTATTAGGTCTAACTCGGCAAAGCAAAAAGATTAACTGAAACATTTGCACGTTGATAAAGTGTATTCCTTATAAATTCTCATAGAGCGCAGCCATTGTTCATCTTTCAAAAGCTGAAACCTGATGCTGTGGTTGACTGTGAGGATATCCATTCAGCTCCACTCTTGGCTTCAGACCACTGCTGCCACTGACTTATAAAACTTTTAACAGTTATTCACTTTATCAAAGATAAAAGACAGATCGGTTTGTTATTGTTCAACACCTACAACTCTTAAGAGGCTCTTACTTCAATTCCGTGGCTAAGACTTCCACTTCTGTGAAACACTCATGAAAACTTTTTTGTTTTATTGTCAGTAAACTAGAAGATTGTATTGAGGCAGCCGGTACAAAAGCAGGTAGCTGGTTATTGTCGAAAATGGATCCTAAACACCGCTGTGTCGTGTTTCAGCTTTTTAGACAGAAAAGCTACATTGTGGCTTTCTTTTATTTGTAATCTGTGAACAACCATCAGCTGAGAAACGAAACTGAAGCGGTATAATTAGATTTACAAGTGTGGACAAGAATTTTAATTTCCATATTTGCTTTGTGTGTTTTGTTTAATACCATCTATCATCATTACTCAGACACTCAAAGTTTGCCATGGGTGTAGTCTAATTCTCGTTAGTATCTCACAGCAACCTTTGAGGCATACAAGATGGCCATCTACGTAACAGCTGACTCTGTAATGCTACAGAGAACAGAGCTCAAACTCCAGTAAATGTGTTATCCCATCAAGACTGAAGCGTTTATCCCAAGGTTCTTAGCAGCTGTGTTCTCAGGTTTGGTTATTTGTTGTCTAGCAAGATTACTCAGTCATGAACAGATTTACATGGATATTTTCCCAGAGGTGGAGCTTTGTCCAGTTTAGAAGTAATTAACTTTTGGAGTCTGGATCCAGGAATTTTGGGAACGATTCTTCACCATGAGAGGAGTCAAAATTGTGCATTTCCTTTGGTGTCTCTATAAATGTATGCTGAATTAAAGTGATAAAAATAAACATCATATTGATGTTCTTAAAATATTAAACGAATCAATATTCCAATATCCTTCTGGCTTAATTTGTGCATGGTGTGGAGGAATCTTCAGCCTTGGCAGAAGTCTGCTGTCCCCATTGGTCTTATTGTTTAACCATATTGGTATTTTGCTGCACTTTTAGTGCAAAGTCGGCATACACAATCTTGTTTCAGAGACGATTCAAGAAAGTTTACCCTCTTTTCTTTATTTTTCTAGTTTAATGGACAGAGAGGTGACTCTGCTGGCAGAAATGGACAAAGTGAAAGCTGATGCCAGTAAGTATTGTATTTTCCAGTATGCTTGTCACATACCACCCTGCAGCTGCTTGTGCTCTTCTCATGATATGATCACCTGACTCAAAGGCCCCAAGACTCTGACCTAAATCACTTCTGGAGGTTGTAAAAGAAATCTTATGGAACAGCAAGTCCCAGTTTCTTCTAAACTGCAGTGTTGCCTTAAGGTCCTGATACACCTAGAGCGTGCGTGCATGCGTGCGTGCGTGCGTGCGTGCGTGTGTGTGTGTGTGTGTGTGTGTGTGTACAATGTAGGCCTGATATTTGTACAACTAGGCCATTCTCTCTTATTCTGTCCTCTCAGTGTAGAGTGTTGTGTGTTCCAGGCCTGGAAAAAGTGAATAGTGTCAGGTGTCAAGGGAGACTCAATGCTGTCTTTGTGCAAGGCGTGTGGTGAATTGAGAGAAAAGCAAAGAAACTCTAGTCCTCATCCGATGTTACAAAAGCCAGGTTTTCTCAAAAGTTACTTTACTCTAAGAATCTTTTCCTTCGGGAGAAAGTGATACAACTGATTACATATATGTATATTTATTTTAGATTATATATTTCAAAAAGAGAAAAAAATAAGTATTTGTTAAACCTCTTTCCTGGCTGTGGGACTGTATCAGTAGTGCTAAGGACCAGTGGGTACTTCAGATGTCCTCTGTAAGATTAGTCTGAGTGGGACATGTCATGTGCTTGTTGAAAACACAGGTGTATGATTGTTGCTTTTACAGCCATGATTGGACACTAAGGAAGGGGAGAGAAAAAGACTTGTATCAATTGACTAAGTAGCGAGAGCAAGCTAGAAAGGATTGGGAAAGGTTAAAGTGATTAAGGATAGAGATTGAAATATGCTAACAAGTGAGCAGACTATGTTGAGAAGATGGAAGGACTTTGAAGACCTTCTTAATGAAGAAAATGACAGAGGAGACTGGATGGAGGAAAGTTGGGTAAGGGAGTTCAGATGAGAATGAAGTGAGGGCAGCCAAGAAGAGGATGACGAGTGGAAAGAAAACTGGATCAGGCGATATACCTGTGGAGGTATGGAAATATCTAGGAGAAAGGGGCTATGGACTTAGTAGATGATGATGATGATGATATTAATAGTAGTAGTAGTAGTATTAAGTAGGTTAACAGAATCTTGGAGAGTGAGAGCATGCCTGAGGAATGGAACTGTACCGGTACTGATTTTCAAGAAGAAGGGTGATGTGCAGAACAGTAATAACTACAGAGGGATAAAACTGGTGAGCCATACCACAGAGATGTGGGAAGGAATTTTTGAAGCTAGATTAAGTAGGCTAGTGACAATTAACAAGGAGCAGTATGGCTTCATCCTGAGAAAGGCCAGTGCAGATGCAATGTTTGCACTGTTTTTTTGGATCTAAAGAAAGCTGGTGCCAAGAGAGGAACAATGGTACTGCTTCAGAAAGTTAGGAGTGGCAGAAGTGTGTGTGAGGCTGGTGCAGGACATGTATGAGAACAGTGAGACGGAGGTTAAGTGTGCAGTAGAAGTGACAGATGTGTTTGAGGTGGAGGTGGAAGAGAGCCTGGAGAGGTGTGGGTATGCGTTTTCAGCCTATGCTTTGGAGAAAAGAGAAATGAAAGTTATTAGATGTAGTTAAGATACAATGACCAGAGGTGGACAAGGTTAAGTACCTGTAATGAGTTATTCAAAGCAATGAACAGGGTGGACTGGATGGAGTAGGTGGAGAAGAATGTCAAAGGTGATTTGTGACAGAAGTATAGCAGAAAGTGAAGGAGAATGTTAACAAGATGGTAGTGAACACCTGCTATAATTGACAGCACTAACCAGTGGCAGCGCTTAAGATTTTCACTGATGGTGACCACCAGGTTAGGCAGATTGAGCAGTTTAGAGAGAAAATTAGAAAAGCAAGGCTAAGATGGTTTAAGCATGTTCAGAGGAGGGATAATAGATATATTGGGGAAAAGGATGTTCAATATGGGGCTACCAAACAACAGAAAAAGAGACTGTACTGAGAAATTTTGTTTGGTGAAGATATGAAGAGATGACATGTCTTCAGAGGTATGTTGTTTTTCTCACAGAAGAGAATGCTGGGGGTGGGATGGGCGCAGATGGTCCAGTGTGGTGACCGATAAAGGGAACAGTTGATCAAATAAGAAGCTGTATTAGTGCAGAAGCTCAGAGATTTAGACCATCGTTTATGTAGAGTGAGTGGAGATGAGATGTGAGTGGTAACGCCTATTGTTAAAGACAGTATTGCAGGTGAATACTGCCATACCTCAGCACCAGTATGAATGGAGTCCAGGTTGTGGTGAGGTCACAGTTGACAGCCATCATAATGGGCCCTCAACTGAAATCTTTGTCATTTTCTTTGAACTGGGGACCAATTGCATATTTCTGCAGGGCGACCCATTATTCCAGTTTGAGCTTCATATTTTGTTCTTTGATTCTAGTAGAGCAGCTTTGGATGAGTCATTGTTCATTATCATCCCTTTGTCTTATACTGGGCCCTGGTGCTGTCTCTCAGGTTATACTTACCTGAAACAACCTGTTTTAGTTCCTATCCCTTTTTCTTTAAGATGATGTTCTTTTGATTGGCTGCATTTCACAAACTGACGGAGTGATGAGTATTTAGATGAAACTGAAAGATTACAAGACCTCTTTATTTTAAACTTAAGCAAAAGAATAGGGTCCATTTTTGAATGTATTTTCAATCATTTTTACTTTTTGAAGAAAGGAAATTCTGTCTTGTCTTTGCTTCCTAACACACAGGACAGTTTGTCTTTAAGAGAAGGCACCGTTTTTAAAGTAGTGGGTGGCCTCAGACTTATTTTGTCCGCCAAATTTCCAAATTGGCTGCTGGATGTGTCTCACAGTGAGCGCTAATGCAGCCAACTTTGGACTGACTAACTGAAATTTTCCTCCTAATTTAAAGTTTAGAGTTTAACAGCTCAGAATCACTTTAGGTGCAGCTCTGTTTTTAAACTTTTGCTTAAATGTGTGGAAGACATAATACAAGCAGACATTTGACTGCATAATAAAAACCCTCCTTAAATTCATTCACATCTGTTCATATTTTTGCTGCTACGTTTCAGTGATGATCTTGGACGCCCGGCAGAAGAGAGCAGAGGAGCTCCGGCGGCTGACAGATAAGTCGGCATCCATGTCAGAGGAGCAGCTGACTGAACTGCGTGCAGACATCAAGGTACCTGCACAGCACAGCTGCTCCACTTTGATGCTGTCTTTCAGTATCTTAGTTTGACTTGGTGTTTTATTTCATAACCGACTGAATGGGAAATTGGTGTTTATTTTTAATTAATCTACAACTCAAGGCAGATTCTCCTACTTATGCATACAAAAGTAGAGATGAAAACAACAAAGTTTAAGACACAACGTGGGTGGGTTTTTTCCCCCACTTTTATTTATTTATGTTTTTATTTGCAGCACTTTGTGAGCGAGCGTAAATACGATGAGGACCTTGGAAAAGCTCTAAGATTTACGTTTGATCTTGAACCGCTGAAGACGAGCATTGCAGGGTTTGGATCAGGTACAGTATCAAAGTCATCTCATTTATTTCTCTTACCGACTTGTGTTCAGCTATGCCTGACACTTGACTGGGACACACCTTTCCTTAAATTACAAAATACAAGACGAGCAGGCTAGAAATGACTAATGCAGTAATGATTATGATATGGCAAGCATGCAGTACTAAATGAGCAGAGCGCTAGTTTTATGGTTGGAAACTATAGTGGAGCAATAAGGACGCTTTGATAATATTGTTAGCAGCTCTGTTTATTAATTAACCTCTGAAGAGGAGGGTGTCAAGTTGGCTGTTATGAGGGAGAAAGAGGTTTGTTTGTTCTTTTTTTTCTTTTTTTTTTCTTCTTGGTCTCTGCATACTCTGACCGGTCTGCAGAAGCTGCTGTCCCATCATGTCAGACATTTGGTTTATTTATATTTTGACCATGACTGTGCTAATCAGACCACTCATAAGCAGTCTTATCTGACTCTAAAATCTTAACCCAAAAATTGTGATTTCATGCTATTTAAGGTTCTGAGAATGCCTCTAATGTAGATCTGTCTAAAACAAGCTTTTAACACTTTATTTTATGCAATTAGCACACTTTTTTTCCTGCTTAGTGAGAAAGGTTGCTTGGTTTACCATTTTTGACCATAGCCTATATTTAACAGAGGGACGTAGACACCATGACTTCACGTACAGGTTTTGGATTTCACCTTTTGAAGACTCAACATTGGTGTTTTTGCCACTGCCGTGTTTTGTGTTGTCGGAATTTGCCATATTTGGACCAGTGGGAACAGTGTTAAGTTGTCACCTTAGAGCCCAGTCACACAGGCCTGTGCAAGACCAGATGGTGACCACCTGACAACCCCTGGTAACTAGGAAACGTATTGCCTAACTTGCTGGCAAGTGGTTGCTGTTGGTGGGTGAAATTAGTCAGAAAGAGTTGCTGCACTGAAACCACCTCATGACCACTGTGGTTGCTAGCAGCTTGTTGCAGTTTCACTGTGCAAATTGCAATTTTTGGTAATTTGTATAACGTCTGTAAAATGCTCTACAACTACTCACCAAGTGGTAGTGAAACTTTAAGAAGTGCAACAGCTGAATGTTCTCCCCAGAGAAAAGCAAAGGTTTCTCCTTATGGAACGTCTAGTTTGGAGATAAAGTAAAACTTTTACTTTGAAGGTGAATGCTGCTGTTTCTGAATCACATTGCTCTTTTCCAAGTTTTACTACAGCTCAGTGGAAAGTTTACAGAGTGTTTGCAGACAAGCTGGAAATCCATTATGGCAATCTACTAGCAACCGAAATCATAGTAACCAGATTTCTGGTGAAGCCTCCTCTTTGCAACTGTTTTCACCAATTGGTAGCCTGCAACCACTCTCTAATTTGTTAAGAATACAATTTTTTTCCCCCCCTAGTAAGCAGTGGTCACTTGGGGTCACTGACCATTCATGCCTCTGTGACTGATGACTAAGGCTTGTAAAAGCTTTGTTAACAAGTTGTAGTCATAAACTGTACAAGTGCAATGCACTGGGACAGATCATTCATTGTTCTATTTGATGTTCATTAGTGTTACAGAAATATAATTACTAGAATTTCACTCACTAAAATTAAGGCATAAACTTGTGGGAGGGTTTTTTTGTTTTTGTTTTTTTAAAAAACCTCACAGCAAGCCATATTAATAATTAGATAAGCCATTAAAGTACTCCAAAAAACAAACACAATGGAGTGGTCCAGTTCAGTGACTGTCACTGGCATAGGTGAGGCCTGTTAGCTGCAATTTCCTGTTTTAAGACACACCTGTAAATGTAAGTCTCAACACTTAGAAAAGAATGAGTCACTTTAAATATCTTTTGAAAAGGAAAACTATTAATAGATCCCAAAAAGTTTCTATAACAGGGTGTAAATGTGTTTTTTGATGCTGCCATTGACTTAGTTTTAAGTAGCCATTAGAGGAAATGTAGATTTTGGCACTTCTGCATTTGCTTCATCTTTGAGCCCCAGAGGTTTCCGCAGAGCGTTGACTCACTATGTTGATTTTCTCACAGTTTACCACCCACGTACAGGCTACTCAAACCGATCCCGCTGTAGCTCCACATCATCTTCTGTCGCCAGCCCCACCCTGCCGGAGACGCCTGCTCCTACCCAGATCCAGAGCAACCACCCAAGTGAAACCCGTCCTCCACCAGCCAAACAGGTCAGCTGGAAAGCCGTAGTTTGTCAGACATTAGACCAAATGCTGGTTTACTTCACTGACAAACTTTAAACTCTCCCCCTCAGATTTTCCAAGGAAACAGGCGTACCTTCCACGGACAAGGTTATCACACAGGTGGTCAGCGGTATAACGGTGGTTCCTACAATGACAGGAACGCTGGTCGTGCAAACCACCGCCATCAGAATGATGGTGCCTCCTCTGGGCCTACATCACAGCACTCTAACAACTCAAGAGGTCCCTCGCATTCCTCCACATCCTCTCACAACCAAGACCGACCCTCTCACAATGGGCTTCCCCAAAGGGTTCCACGAACACTTGGTCCTTGACATTTAAAAAAACAAAAAATCACAAGCTCAATCAAACCCATCAACTAACCCTTGACCTCCTCCTTCTCTCCACATACCCTTCCCCAACCCTTCACCTCCTCCCCACCTACTAACTCCTTTTAATGAAGAATAGAATACAAGTTTACATATTTCCGTCAGTTGAGCTGTAGTGCCGCCTCGCCACATCAATCAATTCATCCTTCAAACTTGAAAAGCGCTCACTGTTCTGTAATCGCTCTTCCTCTTTCTTTTCTCGCTCCTGATGACGGTTAACAGTTTCTATCTTTAGGCCCCTTTTGAGAGATCTTACTGTCATGCTATCGTCAGTCTCTGATATTAGTTTTTGCAGTTAAAGCAGACTGCCAGAGACTGACATGATTACCTGCAACAATTTGTGCACTATTGAAGTTGAACTCTTAGTACTTTTTCTATTTTTACTGTGGCTTTGTCAGCTCTCTGATTCGAACCTCAGATCTTATTATTCTGCTTGTCTCCCAGAACCATTTCAATACCTTCACCACGGAAAGCGTTGTGAAAGTGTAAAAGCAGTTCTAGCATTAGCTGGGATTTCTGAAGAGTAGACATGCAATCAACACTACAAACTGTCATTAATCATTGCAAGGTAAAGAAAAAAGAGACATATCAAACTGTAATCCAGAGCTTTTTGTACGGCTGCTACAAACCATAGGGAACTTGTTAACGCTAGGACTTGGCTGTATTGAGAGTAACACTGTGGACACAGATGTTACCCTTTTGAAAGGAGTAGTTTAACATTTGTCAGTGCGCTTTCCCTCACTCTTTGCTCTGAGTTGCATAAGTAGATTAACACACGTGTACACTAAATATGAATCTGGCAGCTGATTAGATTAGCTTGGTGTGAAGGCTGCAGAAGGAGAGTAACGGCTTTGGCTGTCTTAATGTGGCAAACTGCACCTCTAAATTCAGTAATTCACACAATCTTTTCTGGGTTTTTGCACAAAACTGGGATTTTTCTGGGGGGTCAAGTTTGAGGCTAGCTGTTACTCATTTCTGGCTTTAATGCTGAACTGATTGGCTGCTGCTTGTAGTTCCTTATTTAATTTAAGCACAAGTGTGTTATCTACCTTCTCATCTGACTCTGCATGGAGGTGATAAGTGCCTATCCCAGTGTCAAATGTCAAACTACTCCTTTTTAATATTGCCTAAGGCAGTGATGTATCGCCCTCCCACTGGCTGCCGGAGTTATCATGTGTGCTGTTTTTTGTTTTTTCTTAGCTAGCTGTCCATCGTTTTATAACAAAGAGGGCTCATTACCTTTTGTAGAATAATGTTAAATATGTAAAAACTCTCAACAAAGGAAAACTCCTTTGTGGTGCACATGCTTTTTCATAGTTCTGAACATTTATTCACAGGCCGTTTGTTCTTTGTGTTTTTTCTTGTTATATGCACACGAATGGCATATTAATGTCGTGCTTGCCTTTAGTCACAGACTTCACATTTGCCTTTCTAGAAACATGGATGTCTGCATCATGATGGCTTTGTAAACAGACGGTACTCATAGAGCAGATATGTGATTTATGAATATGTGCAAAAACAAAGTGTAGGATCTATTCTTCCCCTTTTCCTGCCTGACTGATATAGATATCAGCCATTCACTGATTTATGGATATTGGCATGTATGCTGTGTGATACGGAAACTCTTTCTTTTTTTTCTTTTCTTCTTCTTCTTGTTTTTTGTTTTTTTTTTTGTTTTTTTTTTTTAAAAACAACATAATGCAGAAAAAAGATGCTTGGGGTACGAGAATTAAAAGTTTGTCCAGCAGTGTGACTCCATTGTTTACAAAACTCTCAGCAGTGACTGCTGCACCGCTGAGAAGATGGAGGTGTGGAGTCGAGAAGTGTCTTCACATTAAGTTACGACCTAGTTTGTGAAATACATTACTGGAAACTTAATAATGACCCCAGTATTTTCAATTTCAGTAGATCCCATATTCTGTGTATGGTTATGAGTGTGTGTGTGTGTGTAGGGGGTATTGGCTGATATATCGATATCTAGCATCAGTTGGCTCTTCTTTTTATGTCCACTCTGTGCATCTATGGAAGTAAAATTGAGTAAACTGATGAATGCATTGGAGGGTTGTATTGATTTCTTAGATCTCTTTTTTTCTGCCAAGTAGCTGCTGCTGTTGGGGCTCAATCTCATCGTAGTGCCCAGGTTGTGAACAAAAAGCTGGCGAATACCTCATCGCTCATCCTTCGGCACTGCCTGTTTCGAAGTCATTCTCTCACAGTGGGCTCTTAGTTTGGGACATGGACCCCCTCGTGATTCCTCTTCTTATAATCCTGTAGTTAATGTACATATGAAAGGCTGTAGTGGAAAATCGGTTGTTACATTATTGCTGCATCTTCTTCATAACATGTTGTCTTCCTTTGAGCAGATTTTTTTTTTTTTTTTTTTTAAAGGGGGGTTGTTTTGTGGGTTTTTGTTTCTTAAAAGGGTTTCTGGGCATAGGGAGCTTTTTTCCTGCCCCATTGAGATTAACACTCTTTACGTAAGTAGTTAAATTAGTGAGTATTTGTGGAGAAAAGAATGCAAACTGGTTTCTGAACTTTGGCAGATGTTTTCTGGCTTGTCTTGAAAGGATGATTTAGCGTTATGGGAAATGAGCTTTTAGCTTGTTACAGTAAGACCAAACTATCTGGAAGAATGAGTTAGCTTGGTCTGGCATCAAGCCAGGAATTGGGTAGATTCCTTTCACATTAAACGGGCCCAGATTGTGGGTTGTTTTTTGTTGTTGTTTTGTTTTGTTTTGTTTTTTTCCCTCCTAACATTTTTTTTAAGACAGCTGCTTCGGGAAGAGAAAAAACTAGCAGTTTTTGCTTTTTATGCCAGGTGCTTTTTTTTTTTTTTTTTTTTTACTTTTATTACAGCATTAAGGTTGCTTCTGTGTCTTTTCAATTATATTTCCATTCTTGCTCCTTGGGACCACTGGGTGGAAAAATAAACAACCACTGCAACTGTGGCCCTGTGCAGCAGCAGTAGTTGCAGTGAGTGTTTCCAGTTTTCTGGTCTCAGGAGGGCAGTAATGAACCACCCATCTGTTTAAAAGCAGCTCTCAGGTGGGTTTTTGTTTTTTTGTTTTTGTTTTTGTTTTTTTTTTAACTTGTATCCATCCTAGACTACCGTAAAAAAACTTTTCATTTCCAGTGTAACTAAATTGTCTGCTAAGCACCTCAATAACAGAAATCACAGCTGCATAGAGCTGCAATAACAGAGTCACTGGATGCATCTGTCACACTGCTTATGAGCTATCCTATTGCAGCTGTGTAAAGTAACAAACTAGAATCGTTAAATGAAGTAAAGTTATGAATCTAAAGTTATTGTTTTTTTACAAATGTTGTAAATCTTTAATTCGGGAACAAATTCACCCCTTTTGAATATGGTTCTCTGGCATGCAGCCTGACCCTGCAAAATAGTCATATGTAAATTTAAAAAAATAAATAAATCTTCAAAACATTTAATGTGATTTATGGGCGTCAGATGTGCTGATTAGGTGCATTGTGTTACAGCTGGATAAAGCCAGACTGGCCTATGCTAAGCAAAGCTAACCCTGTTCAGATAGGCAATTGCTCATCCAAGCTTGCTGGATACTCCATAAGACGGCGAGCGCATTTCCCAAAATGTTTCCTTTTAAGTGCATGCACAGCTGGTAGGGGGGTTATATCATCACAAAGATCTGTATAGACTGAAGTTGTACCAAAATCTGAGCCAGCTCATCAACGACGGGCTGCGGTATGAAGTGATTTAAAGCTGCAGGACAAATGCTAAACAATTCATTAATTATCTCATCTGCAAAGTTGTCTGCCTTCCTTCAACCACCATTTGTTTTACATTCCTAACTGTAGGGATATTAAGTTATCGCCAAAGAAACTATCTCGTCCTGTGCAACTTTTCTGCCTGGGTTTTTTTTTTTTCTTTTCTTTTCTTTTCTTTTCCTCTGCCTGTAAAGAATTCCCAATGGGATAAATCCAACAATTCACATTCTCTTCTTTCTTTTTTTTCTTTTCAATCCTGTTTCCTTACTGTATATACATATATGTAGGTATATAATTTGTGCTCACATAGGGCATTTTGTATGTGATATTCATATTAGGCCTAATGGAGGTTAAAACATAAAGTTCATTAATTTCTTCCAGTAAACCCTTTGTCCATCTTCTCAAAAACCTTTCTGAGACAACTGTAAACTCAAGTGCCTTTTTCTCTTTTCCCACTGATTTATCAAAGTCCCCTCCACCAGAGTATGGACCAAAGACATCAACCGTCCCCGACTGCCCAGCCCTCTTTCTCCCTCTCTCACTGAATGGCACACTTTCCATTTACTACAAATAAACAGTTTGCAATACTGACTGTGTATGCTTGGTTTTTGGTTTTTGCATTATAGAGTTTTCCATTACTCTGTCTAACCAGACCAGGACCTTGTGGCTTAGATTTCATGACTTCATAACAAAAAGAAAAAAACATACCCAAGGATATCATGGTGAACATCTAACACCCTTCACATGCTACAAGCTGTTAATCCCTTAAATATGTACCATTAAATCTACAAGAGTGACAAAAGTTGAAGAATAATGTTCTCTACTCCTTTGTTGGTAAATATGGACAGAACGGATGGCAAACAGATAAATGACATCATCCCCATGCAGTATCAGAAACATCAGGTAGAGGGAACCGTTACATTCAGAATCAATAAACATGATTTGGGAAGGTTTGAGAGTCATTGTGTGATAACTGAGAGCCGTGAACTCTGAGTATCCTGAGCTGATATCTGAAGGGCACTTCTGCAGAATTAGTGAGAGGGTAACTTAAAGAGAGAGTTTTAAAAAGCTGCACGTCTTCTGGCTTCCTTCAGACAATGTTATTCACTTTCTCCTCTTGCCTTAGCAGTGCAGGTTTTTCTCCTTCAATTTCGTCAACACTTTTTCTGCAGTAAAGGTATTTCCTTATCTACAAAAATTGGGGTTAAAGGTATGAAGATTGTGTTGCGAGACCACATGGCTGGTTCCAAATTATTCCGATTTCCTGTGTAATATACTAAAGATTTTTTTTAAACAAGTCAAAGGTTTCCATGCAAATGTAACTGAAATAAAAATATTGTAGTAGTGAATGAGACATGCAGTAGCAACGATAGCATAATGCCAGAAATGGTATATGCATTGCAACAGATTCAAAGGTGGATGGTGAAAATAACAAACTAAATTAATTGTTAAATTTAAATGATTCTCTGAACATCCATGGATTATGGTTTCAATCTATTTTAATCAAGGTTTTCACAGATTCATGCACATTCTCCACTTCCTGGTATCAAACAACAAACATTTTACAGTGCTCAGGAGGACTTCATTTACATGCAACAATTTTTTCTTTTTCTTTTTTTAAAAAAATAATGCTTCAAATTCATATTTTGAATGATCACTTTCCCCCCCTTTAAACCTCTCTGATATAAAAAGCTTAGATTTAGATATGATAAAAACAACCGAGTCACTGACTCAAAGCAAATAACTATAAAATATGATACAAAATAAGCAGCCCGAGCATCTTCAGGTCATGATGTTGCTCACAGTCCCATCACAGAGGGAAGCACAGCAGCACCTGTGGATGGATGGAGAGTGCATTCAGTCCACTCAGACGGACTATCTCGCATCCGAATCCGGGACTTTCCAGTTCAGCTGGAAGCCTTTGTCGTAGACTTCGTAGAGCACCTTCGTCACGTAATGATTCCCTCCTTCCTGATACAGCTCCAGGTACTTCCTGTAAAGCTTCAGGGCCGTGCATGAGTCCTCCGTGCTGTCGTGGGTTTCTCCTTGGATGTTGAGGCCTGTGGACATGAAAAAAAAAGGTCAGGAATGATTAAAATGAAAGTGTTCAGCTTCAGATTACAGGGTGGATATGAGGAATTAACACGTACGCTTTAGTGCATGAACTCAAAAAAGCCTCTAAATACTTCAGTGTTCAGATTTAATTCCAAGATGAGTTTGATGATAACTAAAACATCACGAACTATACTGACGGTAACATGAGCGGATTATCCAGTTTACATATTTGGATCCTAATCCCTCTCACAGTAATAATGTTTTTTGTTTTTTGTTTTTTTGTTTCTACTAACTTACCAAGAAAATACCAAGCAAGGAATTTCAGAGAAATCATCCTCTTGTAGGGCAATCGGAAGAGGTGGACGGTGTCGATAACTTGATCTTTGGGAACCTTAATAAACAGAAAATAAAAAACATTAAAATCAAAGCACATCTATAAAAAAAATCACATCTTTAAACTACATGAAGTAATTTGAAATTTAAAACTGATGAAATAATGTACCACTAAATTAATGACACGAAAGTCATTCTGCAGGCCGTGGCCGACGAAGTGAACTCCTGCATCGATGAGGAAGCGTAGCTTCAGGTAGGTCGACTTCAGCGTGGTCACGTGCTTAGAGGATACTGTGGCATCCAGGTCTCCAGGTTCGGTTCCAGAGTATTTTGTCAAATAGTCGACCACCTGGAAGAACAAATTGACAAGTTAGCGGGTGGATCCTTGAAACATTATATATTCATTCTTTTAGGTCATCGTGGACTTTTCTCTCTGCAGCTTCTCACCTGCTCCTGAGTGGAGATGTAGTCATCGATGAAGGGGACCCCCTCGTTGGGTCCCTGACCCCTCACACAGGTGATCCTGGCCACGGACATCTGACTGGGCGTGATGGTCGATTTGGTGCCGTCACTATGCAGCACTGCTTCCTCCTGCAAACGCACACATTCAGGGTTCAAATTTGTTTTAAATGCATGAGTCAGATTAGCTGGACTACTGAAAATATGTACTTGGAATATTTAAAATTGTTTTTGATCGTATATTATAATAAATGATGGTATCATAGCCCGACTTACCTCACTGAGCTTTACAAACTCAGCGTCCAGCCCCACCAGGTCACCAGCCTGCGGCATCTCACTGACTGTGAGTGGGATGAACGTGGCGTCTGTCTTGCTCTGCTTCTCAGTCCGATATAAGTCGGATTTGACTTCAGACTGATTGTGCTGACACTCACTGCGGAGGTCGTATTTGGTGTGGTAGTTTCTCTTGGCGTAACACAGGATGGCTGGCACTTTCCAGCTCACATCAAACTGTGCAGCCTCAGTCTGAAAACAAAAGGAGAAACATTTTTAAATGACTGCATGGATTAAAGTTAGCATGAATAAACAAGCAGGAATCTTATCTGGGATCCTTACCTTCTCAATCGGCTCAATGAGGAAGTCATTGAAGAGGTACCACTGCTGGCGAGAGACTCCCTGAAATAATAAAATCATTTTGAATGTTAAAAATTAAAAACTTTTTGTAGTCAGCAGATGTCAAACGTTTCTTATCTAAGCGTCACTCACCTCTTTTCTTTGATGGTAGGTCTCACCCACTTTGATGTGTGCGACCAGATTACCACCCGTGCCAGCGTCCAGGATGTGCGGCACCGTGACCACCAAGTCATACAGAGAAGCTCCCTCCGCCTCTTCAGCAGCACTTAACTAGTAACAGAAAGTGCAAATAATTGTAAGATAAACTTTTTCATTTCACAAAAGTTGAGAAATTCATGTGTTACAGGAACAAAAACACTAAAACCAACCTATAGTTCAATATCTACAATGCTTCAGATTAGTGTAATAATGTTTTAAAAATATTGGTCCTGGAAATATGGATTTAATTTTGAAGTCAAATTTTAACTTGGTGATGAAAAGTTACTCAAATTATTTCTTCAAGTGCAAAGATCAGCTGAAAATCTAAAGTCCTCACCTCCTCGCCCTCAGGCCAGCTGCTGATCTCCAGTCTCTGACTTTTGCTGAGGGACATCTTGAGAGTGGCGGGGATCCACATGTGACGCTGATCCTGATCTGTCTTCTGCATGGATTTGTTGAAGGCGTACTATAAAAACAGAAACATGGACAATCATGTAAATAATGAACAGATAAATCATTAGTTTCTTTGTTTCTTTTAACTGTATTTAAACACAGTGAATCAGTGGCTTACCTCGGCCTGAACCTTCCAGAATTCGGCCTCTTTGCTGCTGTTCACCTCACAGTTTATCACCAAAACATCTGGGAGACGTCGAATGTTGCGTGTCTGCACCTACAGTGTAACACAAAGAAATGATTACCCTGCACAACAGGTAACAATCAACCATAAATGATTTGTCATTATGAGTGAATGAAAGCTGTAACTCACTGTGGGCTGATACTTGTCACAGTTTCCACACCATGTGTGAGATCTCTGCTGCAAGCAGATGCTTTTCTTCAGGATCTCAGCAAAGTCGTGCTCCTTTATTCTTTTTCCTGAAGTGTCAAAGTACAATGAATATCAGTGTATACATCAAGTCAAGCAGATATTTCCCTCTGCTCATTCAAAAACTAAATTAATTCAAACCATTATGTAATCATTAATAGTTCAAGCTTCAAAGACAAAGTAATTCACAGTCACAGATATCCATGCTCTCAGTGCTCTCAGACTCACCTTGAGTGTCGGGGTAATGCATGTTGAACAGCGACACGAGGGAGGAGTGGACTGTTTCTATGCCACAGAGACACAGGCTGCGGTTCTCAACTTCAGAACAAAACAGCTCTCTAATGACAGAGTCGCCAGAGGAGCCCAGAGAACTGCAACACAAACACAAATCACAGTTTCAGAAACAAGAAGGAAAACTCTGCATTTATAAACAAACATAATGATAAGACTGGGACAGTGTCCAGTAAGAATGCAGGTCAACAATGATGTGTTTTACCTGCTCCTGGTCGTCCTGTAGGCCCGTGGATCCTCCTGCTCCTGTGTCTCCTGGAAGAGCTGGTAGAGGATGAAGTGATCCCATCTCTGGATTAAGCGACCTAGCTCGACTGTTCCTGTCGTCTCCTCACAGTTTGAGAGGACCAGGCCCATCTCTTTGGCTTCAGGGATGTTTCGAAGTGCTCTGAGGAAGTTGCTGGCCTTAAGGAAGAAGACATTAGAGGTTACTTTGGGCAGTTACAACAAAATAAGATTTCAAAGTAAGAGCCTTGCAATCCCCAACAGATTGAAAAAGAAAGAAAGAAACGTACCTGACATGGATCTCCTTGTGACAAATCCAACATGTGGAAGAGGAAGCCGAGTTCACAAGCCAAACAAAACTCCTTGTGGCACAAATGATTCTGAACAAGGCAGCGAACTGGCTCCAGGAAGTATAACACCTAAGATGCAAACATAAAAGATCCATGAAACATTTGACAAATTGTCTCATATTAAAAATTAAATGTACACATTGTGAGTCTTCAGTTTCTTACCTGGATCATGCAGTTACAGTAGGCGTTGGGAATCTGCGGCTCCAGGCCAGCAAACAACGTCCTGTTGTAATGTTTGAAGTCAAAATCTTCCCGTCCACGTTTAGAGTATTTAATTGTCACCTGAAGCACAACAAACACATATTCGTCACATGTTTTGGAAATTAAAGCTTGTAGCAACACTCTATAAATTGTTACATATCATATTTAACTGTATCTCTGTGAACACCAGGGTGAAACATAGCAAGTCCAACCTTTCTGTACTTTTCTGGAACAGTGTGAAGGAGCAGCTCTTCATCACTCTCTGTTGGAGATTCAGGGACGTGGTTGTAATAACCAGGTGTTCCTTCTTTATTTGCAGGGACCTGCAAACAACAAACAGGGAAAAAAAACTTAAAATACACCACGTGGAGATGGGTTTAACTTTTTTTGTAAATTTATTACAATATTGTAAAAATGACAGTTTAAAACAGAAACAAATTTTTAACATACCTGGTTACAGGGGCAGGCGTAAGGATTTTCCACATAACTGTTCAAGCCCACAGTTTCAAAAGTTTGTGGGATTTCTGGGTCCATCCCAGGAGCCCATCTGTTGAAAAGAAACATGTTTTAGATGGAAACCTTTAACGGGAACTACATGAGACTCTAATTTTGAGAACTGCTTTTAAAATATTGAGCAAACCATTTATATCAACTGGGGAAGACTCGACATTATCTTACAAACTTTTATTGAATCTG